CATGCAGTTTTGATTATTATGGCTTTGTAATATAGTTTGAAATCTGGGAGTGCGATGCCTCCATTCCCTTCTTTTTTTTTCAGGAGGGTTTTGGCTATTTGGGGTTTTTGGTGGCTCCATATGAATTTCATCAATATTTTTTCTATTTCTTTGAAGAAATGACATTGAAATTTTTATTGGAATAGCATTGAATCTGTAGATTGCTTTTGTTAGGATGGCCATTTTGATAATATTAATATAGGTGAAACACTACATGACATACATCTCAAAGACATCTTTACAGACACATCACCCAAAGCAGTGATAGTGAAGGCAAAGATAAACAGCTGGGACTACCTCAAATTAAAGAGCTTCTGCACAGCAAAAGAGACAATAACCAAAACAAAGAGAAAACCCACTGACTGGGAGAAAATTTTTGCACACAACACCAATGATAAAGGACTGATCACAAAAATCTACAAAGAGCGATGAGATTCAACAAAAACAAAGAAAATAATCCAGTCAAAAAATGGGCAGAAGAGCTAAAAAGAAACTTCTCCAAAGAGGAAATGGAAATGGCCAACAGGCATATGAAAAATTGTTCAACATCACTTGTAATCAGGGAAATGCAAATCAAAACTACAATGAGATACCATCTTATACCAGTGAGAATGGCACATATTAAAAAAACTAGCAACAACAAATGTTGGCGAGGATGTGGAGAAAAAGGAACTCTCCTTTACTGCTGGTGGGAGTGCAAACTGGTCTGACCACTATGGAAAGCTGTGTGGAGATTCCTCAACCTACTATAGAGATTCCATATGATCCAGCTATTCTACTCCTAGGTATTTACCCAAATGACACAGAAACATTAATTCAAAAGTGCACCTGCACCCCTATGTTTATAGCAGCACTATTTACAATAGCTAAGCTTTGGAAACAACCCAAATGCCCAAAAATAGATGACTGGATCAAGAAGATGTGGTACATATACACCATGGAATATTACTCAGCAATCAAAAAAGATAAACTCATGCAATTTGCAGCAACATGGGTGGAGCTGGAAGGGATCATGCTCAGCGAAATAAGCCAGAAAGAAAAAGAAAAATACCGGATGGTCTCACTCATAGCAGGAATCTAGAAAATCTAAATAAGGGACCAGGAAAAAGAATAACTATAAGAAAGAAAAAATCAAAATCAACAAGCAACTATAAACCAGAGACACACTATGGGGGGGTGGGGAGAGGAGGGATTGGGGTCAAAATAAGGGGGGTGCAATTGTATGGGGAATATAAAAAATAAATCTTAAAAAAAGAATAAAAAATAAACTGTAAATACAAAATAAAAAAAAGATTTCAGCTATTCAAATTATATTTATATCCTCATGGGAGAAGAAGATACTAAGACCACTCAAGTTCTTGCAAACAATCAGAAGATAATTGTCATGTAGTCATTCTTTAATAACAACAAGTCTGAAGAAATATATATATATATATATATATGTATGTATCAATCTGAGAAAACTTGGTTTGAGTAAATATGTCCCTCCCATCTATAGTTTTATTTTGGGTATGTGTATACTTTTCAATAGAAGAATTTAAGATGAGAAAAAAACACAGAACCTCTTTTAAAATTAAACACACACACACACACACAACTTAACCAGCATGATAATGACCAAAATAATAGGCATAGGAATGTTGGGGAAAGGTATCAAGGGGGAAAATGAGGTAAAGAAAAGCAGCAACTAACTGAAAGTCAGATCTAGCTCTCCTAAGTTTTCAATTCTTTCTAAAACTCTTCTGAAGAGTTGTACAGCTTAGCTTTGGAATTGGGAACATAGCCACCATGAGCACCATACATATTCATCTCTGCCTTGACTTTTTTTCACTCTGCAAGGAAGATAGCTGAGAGCTGCTTAGCTTGGGAAATCATGCAAAAAGGGTTTCTCCACAGGGCTTTGCCTCTTCATTAGTACAGAACCCAAACTGGTGTTGGAGACTTTATCCCTCTCTTAAAATAAATCCCCCAAAGAAGGTGCGATTAAAGCATGCTTGTAAGGGGAGGAATGCAAATATTGGTACAGAAAATCAATTACTCGGGAAATAACAGTGAGTACAAACCTATGCTTATTTTAAACACTGGTTATAAAATACATTTGGATATAATCATCCTTACCAGCTGTACTGCTGAATGTAACCACTGACTTGTTTTGACTTTGATTAGGAATCATAAACACGTGGCCTGACATAACCATGAACTCCAGATTTAGAAGTTGTGATTACAGGAGATTCCAGAACATTGACAATAACTTGTTATTGGTTGGGATGAAATCATAGTAATAGCTCTCTCAAGCAGTATCCAATTAACCAATTAGTTGGATTAACTGTGGCTTTCCATCCTCTTTGTAAAATATACTGACCACTGCCATGGAAAGCTCCAGATTAAGAGATTTCTCTCTCCAGTAACCCTATGCACGTCTGCTCTTGCTACCACTTGCGCTATAAAAATCTAGGGTCAACCAAAGGACACAGAAACATCAATTCCAAAGAACACCTGCACCCCTATGTTTATAGCAGCACTGTTTACAATAGCTAAGCTTTGGAAACAGCCCAAATGCCCAAAAATAGATGACTGGATCAAGAAGATGTGGTACATATATACCATGGAATATTACTCAGCATTCAAAAAAGATAAACATATGCAATTTGCAGCAACATGGATGGCGCTGGAAGGGATCATGCTCAGCGAAATAAGCCAAAAAGAAAAAGAAAAATACCGGATGGTCTCACTCATAGCAGGAATCTAGAAAACTTAAATAAGGGATCAGGAAAATGAATAACTATAAGAAAGTGAAAATCAAAATCAACAAAAAACTATGAACCAGAGACACTTTTTGGGGGGTGGGGGCAGGGAGGGGAGGGATTGGGGTCAGAATGGGGCATGTGCAGTTGTATGGGGGAATATAAAAATAAAATTTATTATTTAAAAAAAAAATCTAGGGTCAATTATGTTTATTCCCAAGCTGTTTATGCCAGTTGTACTAGTTACTGTAACTACGCAATTTAATGAATCTTATATATCCTATGAAATACAGGATAGTAGCCCTATGAAAACAAAATTAAACGCTTTGGAAAGATACAATAAAGGGGGTGTTATTAAGCAAACATCTGCTGTTAATTACATAAGGTAAACTTGAAAACATTGGTGATAATAAAGATCTAGATGGAGTAAGTATTCAGATTACTTTAAATTCTAAAAGGAATATAGGGGGACCAAACAAGACATCAGGGGAAAAATGATAACAATTCAAAACACAATACAACACAACAAAAACCAACAGAAAATTATAAACCAGAGATACCCTGCAGGCGAGGGGGAGGGATCAGAGGGAGAGAGGGAGTAGCACAGGGGACTGTGGTGATGGTGAACAGGTGAGTTTAAAAATGAACAATGATGTGAAATATATATAAATAAATTAAAAAGAAGGAAAACTGGAAATCATAAGCTGTATATTTTGGGTGAAGGTTACACAAACAAACAAGTAAAAAGGCTTGTAACTATAAGCAACAGAATGGTATTTATAGGACAGGTCTTAGCTTCACCCATAAGACTGGCAGCATTTTAATTCAACATTTGTTTTGAATACAAGGACCCTCCTATGATCAGCTGATTCTTCAGTGAATGGACTTTTCCTCAGTTAGCTCTGTCATATCACCACCAGGTAAGGTGGTGTAGGGTAAAGAAAATATCAGGCTTTTCTGCCCTTCCGCCATCAGGATAGATGATGGATTCTTGTCCTGAATGCATGCCTGATGGCGGGCACCTGGAATAGGGTGTGGGCATAGGTAGATGGGATTCAGCTGAGCTAAGACTGTGCTTTTAAGGGCGGCGTCACGGGGACGCCAGCAGCAGCAGAAGTAGAAGCCGAAAGAAGCAGCAGCAGAAGCCGAAAGAAGCAGCAGCAGAAGCCGAAAGAGAAGAAGCAGCAGAAGCAGAGAAGGCCAGGGAGCCCAGATAGAGTGAGGATTTGCTGGGGGCTGGGAGGACTGCCAGCCTTCCGGCCCCCCAGCACCCCTGCCTGCCATATGCCTGGTGAACCCCAATAAAAGACCTGCAAAAACCCACTAAGGACTCTGACTCCTCCTTTACCCGGTCTGCATGGGATCAGAAAACCTGCACTGTGCCCAGTCCTGGCCTTTACAGGTGGCTCAGAGTGTAGCCTTTGGACCACAGCAGCATCACTAGGATGCTTGTGAGAAACGCAGAATCTCAGGTCTGGCTGCGGGTAGTGCCCAGAAACTGGGTACGAAAGACTCCTCAGGTGATTCTGAGACCTACTGAAGTTTGACAAGCCCTGCACTGCTGGATTCACACATTGCTGGGGGCACAAAGTGGATACAGCCCTTTTAGAAAAGCAATATGATATGTGACTCACCAGGAGTCAAAAATTTCCTTTTAACTCTGACTTAGCAATCCTACTTTTAGGAATAGTTCCTAAGAAAATTAAAAAAGAAACAGAAAGTTGAATAAAGATATCCTGGCTTCAAGATATCCATGACTTTACTAGCTAAAATGATGAAACAATTGAAAGCAATCTAAGAGAAGAATGGTACATAAATGACAGTGAATAAAAACAGTAGATATAAAGGACTTGTAAATGGACTAAGTGTTTATAAAGCTAAGTAAAAAATGTAGCATGCATCGTGGTTATAATTATGCAATCAACTGGAAAATGATGAATTCTATTAGGGTGTTATTGGGTGATGATCTTGCTTTCAACTTTTGAAGTTATAATAATGTTTATATCATGAAAATATGTTAATTATATTCTTTAAAAGCACCATCACTTAAAATTCACACTACACTCTCAACATACAATTTAAATACTCTTTTAACTATGTGAAACACCACTGCAATGTAACTATGCAGCTGTTGTATGCAAAATTTCAAGGTCTAATATCTTTTGTGACAGATGGGCAGTTAGAGAAATCAGTCTTAACTAAGGAGCCTAGCAATACCTGAATTATCTTCATCTTTGCGGATTTTGAGCTTCACCAGGTCTTCACACTGTTGGAGGATCTGAACTGCATCTTCCATGGAGCAGTTGTCCAGTCGAATGTTATCAATTGCAAGTAGTTTATCCCCAAGTTCCAGAGTTCCAGTTCTGTTAGCAAAAGCATAGCAAGACATGACTAATGATGATCACTTAACCAGGCCATTAAGAGGCATTAAGCATTCTGTAGCATTATTGTAGTCTTTAGAGAAAGAGAGGTTCTTCAATTGCTTTTAAATTGCATTTTACTGACAACCCCCCCTTTTTGGAAGTCTTACTTTGGATTGCTGTGATGACATTAAGTTGCAGAGTATTAAAACATAATTTTTTATGCTTTCTTCAATATAACTAGGACATCCATATAAGCCTCTCTCACAAAGTCTAAGTTTCCTTGAAGGCTGTCAAGGGCCAGGATCTACAGAGATCAGGCATCCTTATGCTTATGTTTAACCACAGCCCTTATATAAACTTCTCTACAGAAACCAGGTGTCCTGCTTCCCTACATCATTGAACCATTTTTGATCTTGGGCAGTCCAGATACTAGGAGATAGGTGAGAGAGGTAGGGAAGCCTAAGGGGCATGGGCTTGGTGGAGGGCCAAGACTTGTCATCACTGATCTTACAATCTGCACGTGGAAACTCACACTGGATGAACAGGGAAAAAGAGGTGGATCTGATGCTCCTTATCTGAAAAGTGGTCAGTGAGACTCTAACATGGTCTGTGACCACTGCAGATCTGATGAAAGTTTTACCCATCATGAACCTTAGAGGGGTCATTTCTGTTTAAGAAATGCCTTAGAACAAACCAGGAAAATCATTTTCCTTACCTGTGTGCCACACTGCCTTTCTTGATATCTGAGATGACAAGGGGGTCTCCTGGTTTTCTACTGGATGGTGCTGTAACAGTGATGATTGAAAAATCACATTTTTATATCCACCACTATTCATTTTCCCTATTTTATAGACACTATTAATGCAAGTACATTAAAAGTGTATTATAGCAAAGAGGGTTAGGAAACGAATTAGAAAATGTACACAATGTATTTTTCTTAATATAAAAATGTTTGCATAAATATTTTATAAACTTAAAAACTAAAGCAAAGTCATTTTAAATTTGCAATTGCAGTTCTTCCTATCAGGTTGCAATCTATTTTAATCAGTGATTATCAAGAGGGAGGTGAGGTGTGGCTAATCCAATAGGAGAGTATTAAAAGCTAAATAGGGCTCCCCTGAGTGGTCCTCGTATGTGGTCCCCAACTCACCTCTGCCTTCACTCCTTCTCAGTGAGGGGACACTACTGTTTATGGCACTATGTCTTGCCATTCAACTGTACTGCACAGGAAAGTGAATGAGAATCACTGATTTACAGTTTTTTTTCCACAACGAAATCTTTTGCTAGATGCAAGGTAAATCTTTAAATTTTGTTCAAAGTTCATACCTAGAATGCTCTGAAATATTTTGGAGGGTGACAATTTTATTTTATTGACAGCAGTGGGTATTTGGTGCTGCTAAATTATAGTTTTATACATATCAATATTCCATATAGGTATAGGTAACTTTTATTTATTTATAAGACTATTAGCAATTTTGGGTTTTATAATTTCTCTGAGGAATATTTCCATATGATGAGAATGAAAACCAATTAGTAATGAGTAATAAATGGAAAGCCTACAATTAATTTAGGAGTGTGGAAAGCTTACAGTTAATTTAGGAGTTTGATACTTAAAATCAACCATACCAATATTTGTGAAAAATAATTTACCTCCAGGAGGAGATGTTTTGCCAACCTGAAGCCTAGAGTGATTCTTTTTTCAAATATCATTAAAAGGCCCCTAAAGTAAGATTTTATTATAAACAGTCTGATCACCCTATAATAATCATATAACCATAACATATCCCATAATCCCATCTGAATCCCAGGAAAATGTTTATGCACAAGAACAGATGGTTTACTATTGCACCACAACACTGAAAGAAAAAGCAAACACACATACCAATACCTTACTCACAGTCTAAATTAGTCCACAGTAAACATCAATGGGACTTCATTCAATCATTATTCTTAGCTGCTAGCGAAGAATGCAAAACACCCTACTCACTACAATTAATACATAATTTAAACCTCTACTCAATGATCTGAAATAATTCCTCTGGAGAAATGTAGACATTTGGCATTTTTACTCATGTCATATTTCAGAATGGCAAATTGCTCTGGGCATAGGGCACAGAAATAAAAACTTTCTTATTACCAGTGAGAACAACTTTTCTGGCATCTGCCAATGAGTTTACACAATGAATGTTTGCCATGTTTTAGTAACCATCACAGAGCACCCACTGTTGCATTGGTTTTTAAATAATCTGTGTTCCTCTGGAATGGTCTAAAACAATAGCAGAGGCAACAAAATGCATCAAACCCATCTTTTATATCTTTACAACAGATATGACCTCTTGGACAAATCCACACAGTTTTGTGGAAAGTTTTAAAAAGCTTTTTATAGTCTGCAGACATATAGAGGCCATTATCACATTCATTAACTAGTATCTTCTCTCTCTACTTTTTTTTTTTTAAAGATTTATTTATTTTTATACAATAGCTGGGGTACAGGTAGGAGGCACAGGAGGATGAGAGGATTCATCAGAGATACAGCAGGGAGCAGAACAGGCAGAAGGACCAAAATACACTGCTGAGGGGAGCAGCAGGCGCAACAGGAGAGGTCTGCTGTGCCATGTGGGATTCTCGTGGGCCAGGATCGAACCTGCGCTGCAGAGGATGCAGACAGCTTCACACCCCTGCACTCAACCTGCTGCGCCACTGGGGAGGCCCTCTCTCTACTTCTTCATTAGGATGGATGACCTGGAGTGATGACGTTGAACCCAGTGGTGGTGCCAACCTACATGAGTGCCTGATTTTGCCACTACCACACCCCCCAGGCACCCTAAATTAGATGATGCTTGCTTGGGTGTGGGCTTAGTATAGCCTATGCTTCCTTGTACCATGTTTTTTTTTTTTTTAATCTTTTTTTTTTTTAAGATTTATTTTGTTTTATTTATTTATTTATTTATTTATTTATTTATTTGTTTTGTTTATACATGCACTGGGTACAGTCAGAAGCACGGGAGGGTGAGAGAATTCACCAGAGCAAGAGCGGGGAGCAGAGCAGGCAGAAGGACCGAAGTACACTGCTGAGGGGAGCAGCAGTGGAGGTCTGCGCGCCATGTGGGACCCTCCTCCGGTGGCCGGGGAGCAGCTGGGAATCGAACCGGTGCTGCAGAGGCTGCGGGCAGCTTCGCAACCCAGCGCTCAACCGCTGCGCCACCGGGGAGGCCCTCTTGTACCATGTTTTAATTCCCATTACTAGGCTTGCTTTGTTTGGCTTGTAGTGCTTTAAAAATCTCATTTGTTGCCCACATTTTGCATATTTCACACAGGAGTTAGAGGTGATACAGATCATACTTGAGAGCCAGACTCAGCAGCACAATGATACGGTTCAAAATCCTCCCCTACCACTGAGCAGGCATGTGTCTGTTTTCTCATCTGTGGTGGTGAGAATGGTCATGAAGACTATTAACAGTGATGATCTCATAGCGGTTTTTTTTGTGAGGATGAGGAGAATTATTCAATGTAAAACTGGATGGGTGCCCGCAGGATGCACTACATAAGGGCTTTGTTGTTATTACAATTACGAAACAACATTGGACTCACTTCCCCATCCCCTGCTTTTGATGGAGCGTTCAATCTCCTCTTTGCCACCATCCTCACTGGGCTGATGGCAGCAGACTCCTCACCTCTAGAGGTTTCTGAGACTGGCATCTTTTGAATGAGAATACTCTAGCACTCACCCAGCATTTGGAATGTGATTGGTGTTCTCCACAGAATCAGTCCTTTAACCCATATTTTTTAAATATATATTTTATTTTATATAATCTTACATAATTTTTCATTTTTGCACAATGTATGCATTTTTATTTTGGTTATATTCTCCATACAATTGCACCCCCCTTATTTTGACCCTAATCCCTCTTCTTTACTCTCCCTGCCCCCTGACCCCAGTGTGTCTCTGGTTTATAGTTGCTTGTTGATTTTGATGGGGGGGGTCATCTCATGGGGTCATTAGGCATGAAACAGATTTCACTTTTCTGCAAAACGATTCCAACTGGGAAAGACATACTAACCCTTCAGATTGAGGGAAGGTTATACTACATGGATCAAGGGTATGGCTTTGGAAAGAGGGCAACAACAGGTAACTCAGTTCTGAAAAAGAACTATCACAACCACTTGAAATCTCAATATATACTGGTTAAGAGTCCAGAACTGAAAGCCTGGAAAAAGAGAAAGAACAATGAAGCAAAATGCCATTATAGTATTATATATTAAATTTAAATTTTTTACATTTAAAAATTTGTTCTTTCCCCACTCATTTCATAAAGGAATTTTAATTCAAACTCTTCACTGTTTCTTCAATGTCAATTGTTTTTGTTGCTACTAGAGCTGCATGTTTTGAGCTGTCTACAAGTTTTTTTCAGAACTCATCACTGTCATGTCTTTCATAGCTCTTTTGCAATCCAGCCACATGATGTCACTGGAAATTTTATTTATTTATTTATTTTTAAGATTTATTTATTTATTTATACAAGAACCAGGATACAGGCCAGATGCGCGGGAGGGTGAGAGGATTCACCAGGAGACAGAGCAGGGAGCAGAACAGGCAGACTGATGAACTACTGCTGAGGGGAGCAGCGGGCACTTACAGGAGAGGTCTGCAGCACCATGTGGGACCCTTGCCGGCCGGCGGGGATTGAACCAGCACTGCAGAGGCTGTGGATAGCTTCACAGTGCAGCGCTCAACCGCCTGCGCCACAAAGGAGACCCTCACTGGAGATTTTAACCCAAATCATAAGTACTCATTGACAATAATTGTACAATAACATTTCAATAATTGGCATTTTTCATGTAAACCATTGGCAAACAGTCTTGATTCTCACATGCTTTTTAAAATTTGCTTTTCATTTTTATCAAGTTACATGTGCTTACATTTTTTTTTTTTGTTCTCTGATTTGTAACACATTTGAACCTTTAAGAAATATAACACCATCCAATAAGAATCTTCTAATTGTGGGAAGCATACATTTCACAAACTATCTTGTTTCTAGTCTCCAAGATTTTTCTAATAGTTTATCAGAAAGGCTCTGAACTATGGGCTCCTGACACCTGAGTTTTTGAATGTTTTGATTACTGTAAAGTAATTTCAAGTGAATGAACTTAATTTCCAGCTGTTTTTCTTCTGGAATGGACTTATCATTTTGAAGTTACCTAGTTCACTGCAAGAATGTTTAACTCCTTAAGTTCTGAGATCTGTTCTGTCTTTGGAAAACTTGGTAAAAAAGTAAATTTTTTCCTGCACAATGAGGATGAACTTACAAGAACATACCCAATATTAAATTATAATAAAAAGCAGCATGGATAATGTGGTTATGATGTTCACTTTGACCTTAAGCTAGTGACTAACTCTGGAGATCATTTCTGGATCAATACAAATCAAACATCACTGCAGGCACACTTGACTCCTTAACACAACTCTCTACATTACACTATTGAAAACTAAAAAAGAGTAAGTGAACAAATCCATATTCATACATGATTATGTTTGCAAGAGACTACCTTTTTTAAAATATATTTTACATCATTGTTCATTTTTAAACAATATTTCTTCCCCTCACCCCTGCCCCAGTGTAGGCCCCATAGAAATTTTCTTCATCAATTCACCCATGCACCATCACCACAGTCCCCTGTGCTCTTCCCTCCCTCCCTCTGATCAAAAATAATAATACACGGCACAACAAAACCAGACAATTATAAACCAGAGATATCCTGCAGGGGAGGAGGAGGGAGAGGGATC